GTTTATCAAAGTTATCTGAAAATTATGCTTTATTCCGGATATTTGCACCTGATATCTTACATACAGTGACATGAAAGATCCACAATCGAATAATTTAGTGATAAAAGATTATTTCTGGTATTTTTCTTTTGTAAGATAATGTAGTTTCTTTCTGAAATAATCCGGTGTAATTTTTATTTATTCGCACTTTGTCCGCTCGAAATTAGGTTTGAGGTTCAAGAATACAACAATTTTGTTTATTTTGTACCCCAAAGAGTAAAACACCTATGAAAAATAAAATTGCCTTTATTATTCAATTGAGGGTGCATTGTGAATGATTTATTGTGTTTTGAGGGTGCAAAGTGCTATTATTATTTTTTGAGGGTGCAAAGTGCCAAAATGGTATATTTCAAGAGTGCAAAGTGGAATTAAGCCTAAATAATAATAGGAAAAAAAAAATTATCGCTTGGAAGTTAAATTAAAATTCCTAATTTTTTAAAGAAAATAATACACTTTTTAGTCAAAATGTTATCAATATTACAGTCATATGTAGGAAATGATAGTAATATGGGTTGGATATTATCGATTTTGAATTAAATTCTCATAGATTGTTAAAAGTTCGAATTGAAAACTAACACGTCTATGAAAGTATACGTTATAGAGCAAACGGGACTGCAATAATGATAAATTTTTCATCGATTACAGTTGTCTAATTTGAATTTCAAATTTATTTATAGGAAATGATAGTAATACGGGTTGGATATTATCGATTTTGAATTAAATTCTCGCAGATTGTTAAAACTTCGAATTGAATACTAACACGTCTATGAAAGTATACATTATAGAGCCAACGGGACTGCAGTAATGATAATTTTTTCACCGATTACAGTTGTCTAATTTGAATTTCAAATTTATTTACATTGAATTTTGAAAATCTAGCTCCTTCGTAACGTATATTTTTTGCGTTTTTAGTTGATTTCTTTTTTGGGATTTTGGTTCGATTTTTTTCTTCTTATGAAAATCTAGTTCCATCGTCGATTATATATACTATTCAGTTTTTTTATTAACGACATGGGATAAATTATAAATATAATCAATCACATGAAATCACTTGTTTGTGACGCAGATAACGATCCCGACTTATAACTGAAAAGTACTAGGATCGCCTAATCCAAAAATTTATATAATAAATCACCAAAAAATAAAAGATTTTTTAAACTAAAGAAAAACCTATGTGTAATTGTTAGAGTAAACTGCAAAAACTACCCCTGTGTAATCTTGAAATAGCAAAAACCCCCCTGTGATAAATAAACTAGCAAAAACCTCCCCTGTGAAATTATTTAAATAGCAAAAACCCCCCTATGGAACTATTTGAGGGTTGACTTGATATAAAAAGACACAAATACCCCTGGAGTCTTGCAATTAATAAATTCTTATATTTTATAAATATTTTAATTATTTTATTTAAAAAATAATCAATTTAGTTGTTTACTATTTTTTTTAATTTCTAAACAAACAAATTAAAAAGTATAAATATACATATTATATGTATATATATAAATACATT